TATAAAATAAAACAATATATAGAGTTATTTATATACATGTACACATACACGTTTACACCCCGAACATTGCACTGTGCATTTTTTGAATTTGAATCTGGGGTGAATGGAAACAGCAGCAACCAGATGGTAATCTGAAAGTTTCATCTTCACAATAAACAGTTTGATATTTGTCCATCTTGACTGCGTTTGTGCACCAAGCATCACTGATGTAAAACACAGCACTTCCGCTCATCTTGCCGGAGTCTTGCACTCACAGCTCGGAACATGGACCACCTGCCGAGTGCTCCTCGTCCAGTTGTTTGGGCCGGGTGGATCGTGGTCTGCTGCTCTTTAATCCAAAAATACCCCGTATTTTTTTATTTAAAAAGCTGGAAAAAACAGATAAAAAACAAAAGCCGTAGCAAAGACAATAATAATAATTAAAATAATAATGATTTGTAGTGAACAAAAAAGTGTTAAACAAATCAATATGTTTTATATTTTAGATTCTTCAAAGTAACCTTTTGCTTTGATGACAGCTTTGCGCACATGGATTGGTTTTCTATTACTAGGTGTGTCTCGTCAAGAGTTCATTTGTGGAATGTTTTGTCTTCTTAACGTGTTTGAGAGCATCAGTTGTGTTGTGCAGGGGTTGGGTTGGTACACAGTTCTGCACAGTGAATATCTCTATTCGACTACTGTTCTAATCCATATTATGGCAAGAACCCTTCACCTCAGTGAAGAAAAACAACAGTACATCATTAATTTAAGACATGAAGGTCAGTCAATCAATTTTCAAAAATCTTGAATGCATCTTCAAGTGCAGTTGTGGAAACCATCAAATGCTATGATGAAACTGTCTCTCATGAGGCCTGCACCAGACAAAGGAAGACCAAGAGTTACCTCTGCTGCAGAGGATAAATTCATTAGAATTACCAGCCTCGGAAAAAGCAAATTAACAGCACCTCAGATTAAAGCCCACATAGACGCATGTGTTCAGATATCTAAACATCATTCTCTCTAAAGGGTTTCTTCTGTGTGGTTTTTGAAAGACACCTACAAAGAAACCTTTGCTCTTTCTTAACAGGATCTTTTCTCCCTTTTATCCTCTGAGGCGATTTCTTGTTGAAAGAATAATGTACCTGTTCTCGTCCAGCAGCTTACCTTCACTGGTTTGTTGCAGCATCTTGATCTAAACCACCTGAAAGAAAATGAGATGGAATGAATAAACATGAATAAAACTTCAACGTGAACTTTAAACATTTCAAAGAGACCAACAAGTATTTAGCAGCAAATGATCAGATCATAACAGAAAGTTTGTCTCACCACTCAAAGATGATGATTGTACTGTAGAGCATTACGATTCCCAGTATCTTCACTGTAACGTAGACATCAACCCCAAACTCTAGATAATCTGTAACAAGACAGCTTCAACTTAATGGGAAGTGTTATGACTCTAAATATCATATACTTTAATTCCTTCAGTTAACCTCAAGTGTAAACAGGTTTCTTAACATTATTTGAATGGCAACATTTCACACAAATGCAATAAAAGGTACTTTACAGAATACTTTAAAAACAAACAAACAAAGCCACACAGCAGAAGAAAACAAAACAGAAGAGAGCAGATTAGATTAAAATGAGCATATTCAGCACAGTTCTGAATTTACCTGCTTTATTACGTCTTTATACAAAAATACCTCCTCCTATTTCACAACTTTATATAGTACATTTGTTTACCTTCAACAGTCAGATGGATCTCTGATAACGTCTGATTACCGAGATCATTTGTAGCCACACAGTAATAAACTCCTCCATCAGTGACACTGGTCACCTTGAAGCTGTAAATTAAAAAAAAATTCAAGCAAATATCGCGGAAACTTGAGAGGAATTGGCGTTCCACCAAACTGAAAAATTCTCATTTAATTTGGCAAGATAGTCTTAAAACTTATAGGAAGGCCCTCCGTAATGCCAGAGCAGCGTACTACTCATCATTAATAGAGGAAAATAGGAACAACCCCAGGTTTCTTTTCAGCACTGTAGCCAGGCTGACAGAGAGTCACAGCTCTATTGAGTCAAGTATTCCCATAGCTCTCAGTAGTTACGACTTCATGAGCTTCTTTAATGATAAAATTCTAGCTATTAGAGACAAAATTCACCAAGACCTGCCCTCTGGCACCAACTTATCTCTAAACTCAGGAACCTTAGAAACAGCTGTAGAATCAGATATATGTTTAGACTGTTTTGCTTCCCTCAATCTTTACCAACTAAATTCAATAATTTCTTCATCTAAACCATCAACCTGCCTCTTAGACCCCATCCCGACTAGGCTGCTTATGATGTTTTACCCTTAGTCAGCACCTCTATACTAGATATGATCAATCTATCTCTATCAACAGGCTATGTACCACAGTACTTTAAAGTCGCTCTAATTAAACCTCTTCTGAAAAAGCCCAAACTTGATCCGGATGTTTTAGCCAACTATAGACCTATATCTAACCTTCCATTTCTCTCTAAAATCCTGGAGAAAGCAGTTGCTAAACAGCTGTGTCACTTTCTACAGAGCAATAGTTTATTTGAGGATTTTCAGTCAGGATTTAGAGCTCATCATAGCACAGAGACAGCACTGGTGAAAATTACTAACGACCTCCTTATTGCATCAGACAAAGGACTTGTCTCTGTACTGGTTTTATTAGATCTTAGTGCTGCATTTGATACCATTGACCATCAGATCCTATTGCAGAAAATGGAACATTTCATTGGCATTAAAGGAACCGCTCTAAGCTGGTTTAAGTCCTATTTATCAGATCGATTTCAGTTTGTACATGTTAACGATGAGTCCTCCATGCATGCCAAAGTTAGTCATGGAGTTCCACAAGGATCTGTCCTTGGACCAATCCTCTTCACTTTATATATGCTTCCTTTAGGCAATATTATCAGGAAATATTCCATAAACTCATTGTTATGCAGATGATACTCAGTTATATCTATTGATAAAGTCAGATGAAACTAATCAGTTAGCTAAACTTCAAATGTGCCTTCAGGATGTTAAAACCTGGATGACCTGTAATTTTCTAATGTTAAACTCAGATAAAACTGAAGTTATTGTTTCTGTTATTGTTTATCTTTGATCAGGACATGTCGTTTAAGTCTCACATTAAGCAAATTTCAAGGACTGCCTTTTTTCACCTATTGCGAAAATCAGGAACATCCTTTCTAAAAATGGTGCAGAAAAACTAGTCCATGCATTTGTTACTTCTAGGCTGGATTACTGCAATTCCCTATTATCAGGCTGCTCAAAAAAGACTCTTTAGCTGATTCAGAATGCTGCAGCACGTGTTCTGACAGGAACCAGGAAAAGAGATCACATTTCTCCTGTTTTAGCTTCTCTTCATTGGCTTCCAGTAAAATCCAGAATAGAATTTAAAATCATTCTTCTTACCTACAAAGCTCTTAATGGTCAGGCACCATCTTATCTAAAAGAGCTCATAGTACCTTACTACCCCACCAGAGCACTGCGCTCCCAGAATGCAGGGTTACTTGTGGTTCCTAGAGTCTCCAAAAGTAGACTAGGAGCCAGAGCGTTCAGCTATCAAGCTCCTCTCCTGTGGAACCAGGTTCCAGTTTGGGTTCAGGAGGCAGACACCATCTCACGCACATTTAAGAGTAGGCTTAAGACTTTCCTCTTTGATAAAGCCTATAGTTAGGGCTGGCTCAGGTTAGTCCTGAACCATCCCTTAGTTATGCTGCTATTGGCCTAGACTGCCGGGGGATTTCCTATGATGCACTGAGCTCCTCTCTCCTCTACTTTCTCTCCCTCTGTGTGCAACCTCGTCCCATTATTGCATGTTACTAACACAACTTATCCCCTTTCTGGTAGTCTTGTGCTTTCTCATCCCTCTCCTCTCTCCTCCTATCACTTCCTGCAGGTGTTTCTTGCTCTGTATCTGTGGAGTCTGGATTTGTGTTTGCGAGTCACCTGCTGCCCCCGTGTTCCTGCTCGGCACCCTCTGCTACAACGACTATTGTTACTAGTCTTATTGTTATTATTGTAATTATAACCATTAACATTACGATTATTATCATTAACACTACTATACATATCTATACCATTTTAGTCATTTACTCTATAGCAACATCACCTTTACTGTCTGTACCTCTGTGTGTATATTGTGTAGGCTGCCTCCCTCCCCTCTCTCTCCTTCCATCCCTCTCTTTTTCTCTCTGTTCCTCTCTTGCCCTCTCTCTCTCTCTCCTTCACCCCCAACCGGTCGAGGCATCTTGGTGGGAACTGTTGGGCTTCTGTAAATAACATCACAGAGTACGGTCTAGACCTGCTCTTTTATGAAAAGCGCTGTGAGATAACTGTTGTTGTGCTTTGGCGCTATATAAATAAAATTCAATTGAATTGAATTAAACCTCTCCTTCATATACAGTCATGGGTCCATCTGTGCTGTTCTTGAACCAGGTGAAGCGGCTGATGGGAGGCTTGGCTCTGCTGGAGCAGGTCAGGTTCACCCAGCTACCTGCTGACACCAAACCTGATGGACTGATGGACACTGAGGTGTATTTGGGATAATCTGAGGAAAATGTGGAAGCCTACATAGATGCATGTGTTCAAGTAGGAGACACATCTTGACATCAACTGCTCAGAGGAGACTGCCTGAATCAGGTCTTCATGGTCGAATTTCCACAAAGAAGCTACTGAGGAAGAACAACAAGAAGAAAATTGCGTGGGCCAAGAAACCTGTCTTTGAATCTGTACTGGTCTGATGACTGGTCTGCTGTCCAAATATTTAATTTTTGGCTCTGCCCTCCACCATGAAGCATGGAGGAGGAGGGGTGATGGTGTGGGGGTGCTTTGCTGGTGACACTGATGGTGGCAGAAAAACTTAACCAGCATGGCTACCACAGCATTCTGCAGCAACATGCCATCCCATCTGCTTTGTGCTTAGTGGAACCATCCTTTGTTTTTCAACAAGACAATGACCCCAGACACACCTCCAGGCAAAGTAAGGGCTGCGTCAGATGGCCTGGCCTCCACAATCACCCATGCTCAGCACCTCTGGGAACTCCTTTAAGACTGTTAGAAAGCCAATCCAGGTGACCACCTCATGAAGCTGAAGACTACTTTGAAAAATCTAAAATATAAAACACATTCTGGTTTGTTTAACACTTTTTTGTTTACTACATAATTCCATATGTGTTCTGTGACGACCCCTGTGTGGCTGTCCTGTGGAACTTTCTTGTGCTTACATTCATTAGGTAAATCGTGAACACCTGAGGGCCCCAGTGTGCCGATTACTTCAGCCTGGCAGTAGTGCAGTGTCTCGCTCTCTTCTCTTCATCCTTCAAGGATGTGGCTGAGGCCATTTTGAGTTCTCCGTTGTCTTATTTCTACACTTCAACACCTCTACATACACCATATTTTCACTCACTCACACCATCACTACTGACTTTACTGATTTTAACTCGACATGTTTTACGTTCTGTTTGCATTTATTGCTCATCCTTAATTACTGTGTTATACTTTCAATATAGTGTGTCTCACGGTCCCAGAGCCAGATCGTGACAGTTCCTTCATAGTTTTCATGTCTTAAGTATTAATCTACAATGTGAAATAAAAACAATATAGAAAAAACAGTAAATGGGTGTGTCCCAACATTTGACTGGTAGTGTATGTACTCCATATAAGCTACAGAAAGAATAGATTCCCTATGGGGCTTGCAATCAATACACTATACTAAATGAATGTGTAAACTAAAATAAATAATAATAAAACTAGAAAATAACTAAACTAAATAATTCAGTAATTCCCCCCCACATGAGCTGAAGATGCATCTGACTTCCTCACTGACAGGGTGTGGCCAAGAAGTGTCAAGACTTTGCAGTATTTTAATCGTGTGGTATTCAGCTTGAAAGAGTAACTCTGTTTGCTTTTATATTGCAAAGGCTCAGCAGGGAAGTCAGTTAATGTTGCATTTCTGCTGAAATTTATAAATTACCTGATTTAAAAATTAATTGTTTCTCTTTCAGCTGCCGGCTTGTTTGGTAAGGTAAAATGTTTCTGCTTTTCATGTTTGAACTTCCTAACCCAGTCTTTATTTTACTGCTTTTCATGACTTTCACTGAAAATGACAGGATACATTTTGTTTGTTGGGTTTTAGCTCACTAGAAATGAACCTCAGATATTATTAATCACAGAGTAACATCTGGTTGTACACGGCTACTTCCTGTTTGAATGTGTTTATTTTACGTTGCTTTAAAACATCATGAATGCTTTGTGTAAAAGATGCTTTGATTAAAATATTGAAAAGTAACTTTTGTTTCCAGGTGAGTGTCATTGCAGTCCTGTCTATGAATATGGTGACAGCCAACATGTTACTGAGTGTCTTCTTTCTTTCAGGTGAGCTGTTTGTTCAGTCACTTTTATTTGGAGACGTTCATCATTTACAGTTTGGACTTCATTTAGAAACAAAGCAGAAAGACCAGCGCAGTCAAATGTTTTATACTGACATTGTTAAAAGGAAAAAGGAGCGAACATGCTGCTGCTGAACTGTAGTTTGTGTATCGTGAACTTTGTCTTCATGCAGATTTTGCTCCACTTTTTGTTAATCATCTGGTTTTACAGGTGTTTGGGCTGATTGTCCTCAACAGCCAGCAGGCCTCTTCATCACTGCACCACAGAAGATGGAAGCACTGAATGGATCTTGTTTGCAAATCCCATGTAGCTTTAGTGCTAAAGCAGAACAAGAGTTTGACAGCAGCAGAGAAATCTTCGGAGTGTGGATTAAAAGTGACTCCAGGTTTGGCAACAATTCAAACAATGTGATTTTCAACAGTAGCAGGACAGTTAACATCTATCCAATGAGGATTACTGGAAACCTGAGTCAGAAAAACTGCACCACTCTGTTTTCCAGTTTACTCACAAGTTATACAAACACATACTTCTTCAGAATTGAGAACAAACCATTCATGGCGACAGCATCTTGTGATCCTCTTCAAATAACAGTTAAAGGTAAGAGTTTAGTTTTTCAGTATATATCTGTCATGATCCTGTCTGTGTGTCTTGTTTGGGAGTCTGAGTTTAGTTCCATGTCCTTAGTTCATGTTTTTGTATTCATTCCTGGTCCTTGTTTGTATTATTGTGATTTGGTCTCCTCTGTACTCAGTGTTCTAGTTCTGTGTTCTCGTTTAGGTTCTGGTTCTTTGTAACTTGTGTGTGTTTCTGTCTTCTTGGTTATTCACTCTGCCCCATGTCTGCCTGCCTGCTTGTCTCTGTCTCTGCCTCGTTAGCCCTGATCCCGCTCACCTGTGTTGCTCTCACCCCACTCGTTAGTCCCAGTGTATATGGATGCCTGCTTGTCTCTCCAGTCTTTGTCATGTCCTTGCGTCTCATGTTGAGTGTTCCTGCCTGTTCCTTTGTTTTCCTTGTTCTGGATTATTCCCTGTGTTTTGGATCGCCTTGTGTTCTGGACTACCTTTGTTGGACTTTGCCTAGAGCTCCTTGTAAGCCTGTTTAAGTTAGTTTTTTGAATTAATAAACGTTTTTGAACTGCAACCTCCTAGCCTTGCCATTGTCTGCATTTGGGTCCTCGCCTCAGTCTGCACTCAGCGCCCCGATCCGTGACAATATCTATCAACATCTATAATGTTATTGTTTGGAATAAAACATGAAATCAGTTGTAGTTTTGGTTTAAACAGCAAACTCCATGACTCTAACCTTCACTGTGAAATGAAATATCTACTGTAGGATTATCAACAGCAGCTGTCAGAGTTCAATGTTAAAGAAATCAACCAGTGAACAGAAAGTGGTTGTTTTCAAAGTTATTACAGTTGAATACTGCTAAGATACCTATATATGAAAACATCTTTCACTTCATTATTATGTTGTCTGCATTACTGTAACTGTCATATCAGACAAAATGTCAGTTGTCAGTTTGAAACATGAAAAAGGGAAAACTCATGTATTGAATTATTTTCACTCCTTCACATGTATCATCAGTTGTTTTTTAATCTTTATTAGGGGAGACCGGGTATGGTTGTAACATGGGGAGAGTTGTAACATCACCAGCTCCACCAATTAGAGATAAGATAGGAGTTTTGTGATCATATCAGTATTTACCTACTTCCTCTCCGATTCACTAACAACGACCACGGCAATGTTAGATTTCATAGTGGTATCTTATGATGAATAGTTATGGAAGGAGGGGTCGAGAGGGGAGGGATGAAAAGGGGTGGAGAGAAGAGGGATGAAGGGTGGCTAGGAACGCTAGCTAGGCTAGGAACCCGAGGTGGTCGAGATTCAGGTTGGGGGCTTGTCTCGATAAGCAGCTTGGTCTTATGAACCCCCCTGTGGTTCCTGTTGTAGAAGAGACAAAATGATTACTAGGCAAAATTATGGATTTTTTAGCGTGCATGTCTTTCATGGTGGGAGGAAGCCGGAGCACCCGGGGGACACCCAGTCAAGGCGGGGAGAACATGCAAACTCTGAGCGAGGTCTAAACTCAGACCTTCTGCTGTGACGCCGCAGTTCTGGCCACTGGGCCACCGTGCTGCCCATTGAGAGGTGAACAAGCAGGGTTTGGGTGGGAGGGATGCGGGAACTGAGAAACGGGAGAGACAACGGGTTAGACGGCTTATTTACGTGAGTGCATGTGACTGGATTGAGAAGCACAGGTGGATGGAATGAGTGAAGTACGGGTGGTTGATTGGAGGAATTGAATGAAGCACAGGTAGTAGAATAAGTGAGGGAGACGTGGTCCTGTTCCTGAACCTCAGTTTACATAACTCCATTCAGGCATGGTGGTTATCAAGTCTGGAAACAGGTACATTCAGAATATATAGAGAAAAAACTGATTTTGAGGTAGTACATTTTTTGACCAAGACTATATTTTATTTAGTATCTATCTTATTACAGACATAGTTGTTTGATTTATATTAGATTGAAATATAGTTTCTTAGGCAACATGTGATGCATTTTTTCCTTTCTAATTTCAAACCACTATGAAAAAAACAGCTAGATAAACACTGGCTAACAGGGGTGGGTTGGGTTGTAACACTTCTTTAAAAAGTGTTATAAATTTACATATACATACTGGACATTCGGGCGAGTCATCAGACCTTTTTTGTTACAGTGAGAGAGAAATACTTTTTATATAACTACCTGTTTGAAGCATATCGTATAGTGTGGTATGTATTTTTGCTTCTTTTGTCTTATTGTTACAACCTACTCCAATACCGGGGAACACAATGCATTTGACATCAAGTCACGAGGTCTGTGATATTCTTGTTGAGGATTGAATTGGTGCCATTTGTAGTGAACAAATGTGGGTACTATGTATAAAAGTTTGAGAACTGTAGCTGCAAAATTCAGCGAGTTGTAGTTTCTGAAGCAAAACGTGGAACAATCATACCTGGTCTCCCCTACATTTTAAATGAATCTAGTTTATCTGTAAATTATCAACATAAGCAGTGTAAATCCTTAAATGACAGCATTGCCCTTTCAGTGTAAAATCTGTGTTTGATCTGAAACCACAGATTCTCCTCCGAGCCCCAGAATTGAGATCCCAGCTGATCTGAAGGAGAAGCAGTCTGTCACTATAACCTGCTCAGCTTCCACTCCCTGTCCACACTCCCCTCCTAAACTCACCTGGAACCTCCAACAAGACTCTCACAGCAACACAGAGGAAAACACAGATCGAACCTTTACAACTAAAATCCAGGAGACCATCACTCTGTCAGACCAACATGATGGATACAACATCACCTGTTCTGCCAGATATCCTGTGAATGAAGGAAAAGATGTCAAGACAGCAGAGGAGAGAAAGACTCTCAGTGTTTCATGTAAGACAAGCAGAGTTTGTTATTGGATCCTGTCAGCACATGATGATTGATGGGATGTCAGCTGATTTGAATAAAGTGAATCTCACATTTTCCTCAGATGCTCCTAAAAACACCTCAGTGTCCATCAGTCCATCAGGTTTGGTGTCAGCAGGTAGCTGGGTGAACCTGACCTGCTCCAGCAGAGCCAAGCCTCCCGTCAGCCGCTTCACCTGGTTCAAGAGCAGCACAGATGGACCCATGACTGTATCTGAAGGAGAGGTTTACATCTTCAAGGTGACCAGTGTCACTGATGGAGGAGTTTATTACTGTGTGGCCACAAATGATCTCGGTAATCAGACGTCATCACAGATTTATTTGAAGACTGCAGGTAAATACAGAACTGTGCTGAATCTGCTTTCATCTGATCGTCTCTTCTGTGTTTTGTTGTCTTTTCCTCCTCTGTATTGCTTGTTTGTTTGTTTTATTACATTGTAAAGCACCTTTTTTGCATTTGTGTGAGATGATCCAATACTAAATAACTAAAAAGAATAAATCTGTTTACATTTGAAGTTAATAGAAGGAATTAAAGTTTATGATATTGACTGGTAGTGTATGTACTCAGTGTATCTACTACTGTTTTTTTATGTTTTAACTTTCTACCCCAGTTTTTTTTTATTTTGCTGCTTTTCATGAACTTCACTGAAGAAGACATGATATATTTTATTTGCTGGGTTTTAGTTCAGCAGTCATCAACCTCAGATATTATTAATCACTGCTTATAAGACATTATCATCACATGATGATTGATGGGATGTCACATTTTCCTCAGATGCTCCTAAAAACACCTCAGTGTCCATCAGTCCATCAGGTTTGGTGTCAGCAGGTAGCTGGGTGAACCTGACCTGCTCCAGCAGAGCCAAGCCTCCCGTCAGCCGCTTCACCTGGTTCAAGAACAGCACAGATGGACCCAAGAATGTATCTGTAGGAGAGGTTTACAGCTTCAAGGTGACCAGTGTCACTGATGGAGGAGTTTATTACTGTGTGGCCACAAATGATCTCGGTAATCAGACGTCATCACAGATTTATTTGAAGACTGCAGGTAAATACAGAACTGTGCTGAATCTGCTTTCATCTGATCGTCTCTTCTGTGTTTTGTTGTCTTTTCCTCCTCTGTATTGCTTGTTTGTTTGTTTTATTACATTGTAAAGCACCTTTTTTGCATTTGTGTGAGATGATCCAATACTAAATAACTAAAAAGAATAAATCTGTTTACATTTGAAGTTAATAGAAGGAATTAAAGTTTATGATATTGACTGGTAGTGTATGTACTCAGTGTATCTACTACTGTTTTTTTATGTTTTAACTTTCTACCCCAGTTTTTTTTTATTTTGCTGCTTTTCATGAACTTCACTGAAGAAGACATGATATATTTTATTTGCTGGGTTTTAGTTCAGCAGTCATCAACCTCAGATATTATTAATCACTGCTTATAGGACAGTATCATCACATGATGATTGATGGGATGTCACATTTTCCTCAGATGCTCCTAAAAACACCTCAGTGTCCATCAGTCCATCAGGTTTGGTGTCAGCAGGTAGCTGGGTGAACCTGACCTGCTCCAGCAGAGCCAAGCCTCCCGTCAGCCGCTTCACCTGGTTCAAGAACAGCACAGATGGACCCAAGAATGTATCTGAAGGAGAGGTTTACAGCTTCAAGGTGACCAGTGTCACTGATGGAGGAGTTTATTACTGTGTGGCCACAAATGATCTCGGTAATGAAACATCATCAGAGATCCATCTGACTGTTGAAGGTAAAGATAGTCAGTACAGTTACTTTACTGAGTCCACTAACATAAATCTGCTTTTCTATATTCTTTTCTCTTAATGTGTGCTTTACTTTTTAAGTTTTTCCATAGCCGTAACCAGCAATGAGGTCAGCGAGGTCCTGACGTCCGTAATTATATGTAGTCTATAGCCTATCAATAAAATAATTCAAATGAAAACCATTGATAACACAGTCAACTTAAATGAAGTCTTTCGGAGCATGTGGGCGCAGCTGATTATACTGGGAAAACCCTTTTCAACTTGAAAAACTGTTTCTCCATCAGTGTCCAGACTTGGTGAAGCACATGAAAAATTGTGGTGCAGTAACTGAGAGCACCACTCGTTGTGGGCAGAGTTTCGGGCGTTACATTTTGTACATTTCCGGGTGGGTGAAATAGGGTATAGCGTCTCCCCATTAAGAGACACGCTGTGTGCATTTCCGCACAAGGCACAGAAGCATAACTACTGCGGTGAAGTTAGTTTTAAGTTGGATTTTCGACAGACATTCACTCAGGATCCACTGGCATCTTCTTACTCAGGTTCACCCAGTGTTGGCAGTATACCTCCGAGCAGGCACGTGAACATAAAAAGGGGGCTCAGGCACCTGCCATTTCTCTCCCTTAAAAAAAATAAATTAATATATACATATTCCTGTTTGCACACACACAGCTTTCCTGTCAAACAAATATATTTATTGAATAAAAAATCTAAATATCAGGTACAGACTTTGTCAATTCCAATGAATGGGGGTAAAATTGTAAACGTGCGGCTGGTGTCGCCTTTTCAAATGTTATCGACTGAATGGATCTCATCCTGATAGTGAAACGAGTCATTTCGCTCAGGTTGTGACAGTCAAGTATATCAATCCGCTAGTTACTTACCTAGTAACTTAAAAGTTACTTCAAAGAACGGGCACTTCCTGTCGGCTCGGAGGCATTGCAAGGCTACCCAGCCGACCAATCACAGAGCTTACGGTCAACTTGACCTGTAGTTACATTTTTGAGGAGGTGCACGTCAGGCTACGGTGTAGGTGACGGTATAGGGTAGGGGGCTAAGCTACAAGTGCCTCCAGTTTACCACCAATTAGCCAAAAGACAAAAGGCAAAGATAGTTAACTTGTGTCTTGCTAACATGCATAACTCATGAGCTGAGCTACTGTAATAAGCTCAAGTTTAGCTTATAATATATCATTGCCATACAGTCTAATGTAGGCTACAATGGAGAAACTAAAGGTGAACACAGTAAAATATGTGTCTAATAATGTAATCATGATTGCCACATTGATATGCAGATTAGGAGTTAACTAATTAAAATGCACTAATTTGCACACATGCCAAGGCAATGTAGGTGAAAAGGATAAACAAAATAACTTAAGCATATCACATCACAGAAATTCCTCAGTTAATGACAGCTTACATCAAGAGTCTTTTCCTCAGATTAACTTGTTTTGGTTAATTTAGAAGAAATCTATAGATGCAAACTAAATGTGTATTTTAGAAGTTTTCTTTCCATGTGAGATCTCAAAATTGACATGATAAAAGTGCAGTCGATATTGACTGCCAGCTATATACAGTCTCAAAAACCCAGCTAGCCTCCTTAAATGCGTGCTACTAACTTTTTTTAAGCTGGGTCTCCCACATTGACAGCGTTGTGTTGGACAGATTTGTGCAGCTGTGTTCATGAGGGAGAGGGAGAGAGCGAGACAGAGAGGAAGGGATGAGCCAGAGGATGTGCTGCGCTAAGGCGCTCTGCAATCCATTTTTATAGGCCAAGTAAAAAAAATCTAAAATCAATATGTGGTGGTCAGCCTTGATATTGTGGCGGCCCCCACAAATAAATGAACGTATGGGAAACACTGATTTTTTTTTTAGTTAAACTTGTCCCTCTCCCTCATTTTTTGTAAATATAGACTAGCAGCATAGAAAACATGCACATTGTGGCATAATTTCCTTTACTGTTGCCTACTCCTGTTATTAACCTAGTGAATGTTAAAGAAGACTATGGTCTCTGTGTGAACGGATTACTTTGTAGAAAAATGTTGAGTATGAAACAATGGCATGAGTGTGAGGGAATTAAAATAAATTGGTAAGAAAGTCAGAGTTGTGTTAATATATTTAACATTTTGTTTAAAAAAAGCTTCCGTGTCAAGTGATTCAGCGACTCTAAACCAATGCCTAATTGTATTACTAACCTGGGCAAAGGAGACACACCTCGTCATATTAGATTTGAGTGCACATTTTATATTAATGTTATTAAAAAAATTATTTTTATATAAATTTTTATAAAATGCTTTTTTCCCAGTAGTTTCTGTAATGTGACCTAGGGACTCTAAACCAACGCCGAATATTAGTACTACACTAGGCATATAAGACACACCCCTTCATACTACATTTGAGTACTTTTTCTATTTTCTATTAATATTTTGTGGAAGAAACTGGTTTATTTTCAATAGCTTCCATGTTATTGACCTAGGGACTCCAATCCTATGCTACACTGGGGAAATGAGAGACACTTCATCATGTTAAATTTGAGTGCATATTCTATTTTTTATTAATGTTTTAATGAAAAAATATTCAGTAGCTTCAACTTGGCATTGGTTTGGAGTCCCTGGGTCATTTGACATAGAACCTACTGAAAGGCACTATATTTTTTCTAATGCATGTTGTGAAGATTAGTTTACAAAGATCTCCTGATCATAACTTGTATGTCTGTATCTCTTATTTTATACAATTTTAGTGAGCCAAGTAGTCGGGAGAAAGACCATGATGAACAGCCTGTGGTTAGTGTGTCCACTGCACCCTTAAGCCTTCTCTGCGCATGGACACACACAAAGGACAAAATTTAGCTTTAATACAAGTATATTTTTGCCAGTCTGTCTCTTTCTATGTATTTTCTTATCATTATTGTGTGACTGTAGTGTATACATTTGGTTGTGTTTAGGCGTAATTTAGGTATGAATTACTATAAAAAAATAATCGGGACCTCACTAATTTATGAACCCTGGTTACGGCCCTGGTTGTACCCTGTGAAGTACTTTCAATGAAATGGTGCCATACAAACTATAATCTTAATCTGAACTTCAGCACAACACTTGTCTTCTTGTAGTCACTAATATTGGTTTTGTTTTTTCGAGAAGTAGACGTTCACTCTGTACAATGGCAGGCAGTTCTTGGAGGGATCGTTGGGATCATTGCACTCATCTGCCTGGTTGTCTGTGTTTGGTAAGTATCACAAATCAAAGCAGCTAATTTGAATCAGTGACTGGCGCAATGTACACTGCTCCAAAAAATAAAGGGAACACTTAAACAACACAAAGTGTCTCCAAGTCAATCACACTCCTGTGAAATCAAACTGTCCACTTAGGAAGCAACACTGATTGACAATCAATTTCACATGCTGTTGTGCAAATGGAATAGACAACAGGTGGAAATTATAGGCAATTAGCAAGACACCCCCAATAAAGGAGTGGTTCTGCAGGTGGTGACCACAGACCACTTCTCAGTTCTAATGCTTCCTGGCTGATGTTTTGGTCACTTTTGAATGCTGGCGGTGCTTTCACTCTAGTGGTAACATGAGACGGCGTCTACAACCCACATAAGTGGCTCAGGTAGTGCAGCTCATCCAGGATGGCACATCAATGTGAGCTGTGTCAGCGTAGTGTCCAGAGCATGGAGGCGCTACCAGGAGACAGGTCAGTACATCAGGAGACGTGGAGGAGGCCGTAGGAGGGCAACAACCCAGCAGCAGGACCGTTACCTCCGCCTTTGTGCAAGGAGGAGCAGGAGGAGCACTGCCAGAGCCCTGCAAAATGACCTCCAGCGGGCCACAAATGTGCATGTCTGCTCAAACGGTCAGAAACAGACTCCATGAGGGCCCGACATCCACAGGTGGGGGTTGTGCTTACAGCCCAACACCGTGCAGGACGTTTGGCATTTGCCAGAGAACACCAAGATTGGCAAATTCGTCACTGGCGCCCTGTGCTCTTCACAGATGAAAGCAGGTTCACACTGAGCACATGACAGACGTGACAGAGTCTGGAGACGCCGTGGAGAACGTTCTGCTGCCTGCAACATCCTCCAGCATGACCGGTTTGGCGGTGGGTCAGTAATGGTGTGGGGTGGCATTTCATTGGGGGGCCGCACAGCCCTCCATGTGCTCGCCAGAGGTAGCCTGACTGCCATTAGGTACCGAGATGAGATCCTCAGACCCCTTGTGAGACCATATGCGGGTGCGGTTGGCCCTGGGTCCCTCCTAATGCAAGACAATGCTAGACCTCATGTGGCTGGAGTGTGTCAGCAGTTCCTGCAAGAGGAAGGCATTGATGCTATGATTGATGCCCGCCCGTTCCCCAGACCGGAATCGCATTGAGCACATCTGGAACATCATGTGTCGCATCATCCACCAACGCCACGTTGCACCACAGACTGTCCAGGAGTTGACTGATGCTTTAGTCCAGGTCTGGGAGGAGATCCCTCAGGAGACCATCCGCCACCTCATCAGGAGCATGCCCAGGCATTGTAGGGAGGTCATGCAGGCACGTGGAGGCCACACGCACACACTACTCATTTTGACTTGTTTTTTAAGGACATTACATCAAAGTTGGATCGGCCTGTAGTGTGGTTTTCCACTTTGATTTTGAGTGACTCCAAATCCAGACCTCCATGGGTTGATAAATTTGATTTCCATTGATAATTTGTGTGATTTTGTTGTCAGCACATTCAATTATGTAAAGAAAGGAGTATTTAATGAGATTATTTCATTCATTCAGATCTAGGATGTTATTTTAGTGTTCCCTTCATTTTTTTGAGCAGTGTATATTTAACCCAAAACACAGTATAATTAACAGCCTCTCATGTCTTCCAGGTTTTTAAAGTCAACACATCCAACTACACAACAGACTCAGGTGGGAAAATACTACAGTACTTCAGCTGTACAGTACTGCACTGTGTGTCTGAATGTACATCTGTTCATTTTGGCTGTGTAGTCTACCTGACTCACTGTTCAGATGATGATTTACTGTAAAACCTTAATCAGAGCCGCCTCTGTGCTGCTAAGTCCATTCAATTGATTTGAGATGGATTAGTAATTATTTATTAGGGAAGGATCCAGCTGAAGGTTCCCCTCACAACAGTTTGATTCATTTACAGAGTCAAACATACGAAGAGCTGCCATTTCAAGACCCAGCAAGTAAAACTGAAGAAAAAGCAGAAGACATCCATTATGGAGAGATCGACTTCTCCAAGCGGAGACGTGATTGGTCCTCTAACTCAGTGCAGGACAGTGGACAGCAGCAGGATACTCTGTATGCACAGGTCAAAGTGTCCCAGCCAGCAAACAGCTTAACACAGACTGCTGACGGCCCAGAGGATCTCTACGCTCAAGTGAAGAAAAAATGAGGAGTGTGTTGTGGTCACATTTGGACTGCATTCTTACTTTTTATTTTATTTACTTTGTCAGTTAATTTAGAAAGAGACACTGGACAGGAAAATATCTTCACTTTACTGAAAGTCAAGACCTCCACACCCTGCAGCTGGTTTCATCTTTCACACGTTATCACATTAAGTTGTTGTCAAATGTATGTGCTGACCTCATACGGACGTTGATGCTGTGTGATAAGTCGTCTCTTTTTCAGAAATGAGCAAGTGAAAAAGGGAACTATTCTAAATGACATGAGAATAAATTACTGTGAACTTGAACCCAAAGCTTTTTTATACGCACATTACTAGTGTTGTAATATTATATTTGAAATGTTCATTTTGCAATATTTTACAATTAATTTTTAACAAGGCATTTTAAATCTAATCATTTGTCACATTTTGTAGCCCATGTTTTTTTTGTATTTTAATCACTTCAAAAATAAATGAGGCGTCGTCTCTGCATCTGAAGATTTATTCATTGCTCTGTAATAAAAACCTTGGCATACATCTTAAAATTCCTTTTAATCTCAGTCGCATTTATTGGTCCAACATTTCACATAGTGTGTAAACATCATATTAAATCAAACAATTCAATTACAAACATTAACAAAGAGGCTAGATGAATTATTCATAGTAATCCTCAGCCCCACTGGAAATATGCTACGATATTTTGTGTAGATAATGGACTTCTGATGAATATTTTTTTATTTCAAACTTACTTTAAAATAAGTCATTTCATGAGACTGTCGATAGTGTATTAAAATAGCTGGTGCTGAAATTCACATAAAAGCTTTATTAAATAATGTTGAAACTTTATCACCGTCAGATCTTTGGGCTTTAGCTTGTAAACATTAGCAGCCTACACACTGTATTGTTATCTCAAAGGCACAACAGGGCCATGTAGATTTAGTACCACGCCAGGTTATTTGAGTGAACGGAGGTAGTGACATTAGCTTCCCTACATGACAAGTTTGACAACTTCACAGAAATCTAACCTCCCTCCTACATCCATCCCAGCATTAGTCCCTCACTGGTGCAGCATAAGAGTGAAGTCATGTCCAATAGGTTGGTATTGCATTGTAGATTATTAGTTTCTCCCCCAATTCTGTATCTGAAATTTAATTTCTTACAGATTTCTGTCCATAAAAAGAGAAAGCCAAGAGTTGCTGACTGTGTTTTCATGCTCAGAGAAAAGTTAATCTACTGGCCTGGCTTTAGGTTGCTGAATTCTCAACATATAACATGGTCTAACAACAAAGAGGCTTAAAGAGAGTTAAAATGTGGCTGCCTTAAACCACCTTTGACTGAGCAGCAAGTACTATTAATATCTCAAACTAAGTCATATCCTATTGTTGCTGTCAGCCAGGCATCTCGACCAACCCAGTCTCAGTTTTTAGCTAACTAAATTCTCTGAGTATGTAAACCCAGCCAGTGACTCTGCTTGCACCCTAATGATCTGAATCCTGTCTCAGTGACTAGCTCCCTGTTTCTGGATGAACTTCCTGTCAGTGGGGTTTTAATTGTGCACTCTGTCCTCCAGTGCCTTCAGCTCAGCCTCCACCTGAGCTGGCAGATCAGCTCCAACCTGCTGAGTGAAGTAGGCTCTCAGCTCCTTCGTCTCCTTCTGCCAGAAAGGAGCAGGCACATCGAACAGGGCGCCCATATCCACCTTGCTGCCCAGACCTTCAGTGTCGATGGCGCCATCTTCTGGCAGCCAGCCGATAATGCTCTTCTTGGCCGCCTCGTCCTCCCTCTCCCTGCTGCAGCGCTTGAAGATCCACTCCAGTACGCGGGCGTTTTCGCCGAAGCCGGGCCAGAGGAAGGAGCCGGTCGCGGAGTCCTTTCTGAACCAGTTCACGTGGAAGATCTTGGGAAGATGAGTTGGGGCCTTTCGGCTCTCCATGCTCAGCCAGTGAGCGAGGTAGTCTCCGAAGTTGTAACCAAAGAAGGGCCGCATGGCAAAGGGGTCGTGCATAATCACCTTGCCTGAAGGAAAACATTAAAAGCTTTGTCTGTGAAGGGTCTCAGTCATCCAGGTCATAATTATGCAAGGAAGGTTAAAATCAAGGGCAACTGGACTTGGTTGAAGACACCGGAAGACCTTTAGTCTCATCTGAGAGACTTCTTCAGTTCTGACTTACTGGTAGGGAAACTTATCTATTTAACTTCTGTGAGGTCGTTGTCTATTGGACACTGTCCAATGCAGTGAGGAATGCACAGACTTGTGTATTGGTGAAACTAAACCACAACACAAATGCATGGCTCAACAAAAACGGGCCGACACCTCAGGTCAAGACTCAGCAGTTTACCAAGATCACATTTCAAGTACACATTCTAGACAGAAAGTGCGGTGCTTTGAAAGAGGTGTAAAGAAAGCCATTTACACGTGGGTTGAGAAACAATTGTTTGGAGGGGGTGGGTCTGCGATGCCACTTATCCCCCCTTTTGACCTCAGGTAAGAATGCCAACGATAGTCATTCATATTTTGCCTCGGGTGGCCATAACGACTGCAGTTACAACAGCCACGAGTACTAACAAACCAGCGGTATCAATTTTTACAAACGACCTCACAGAGGTTAAATAGCTGTTTCACTACCAGTCAGTCAGAACTGAAGAAGTCTCTCGGATGAGAGACGAAACATCTTTGAGCATCTTCAACCAAGTCCTGTTGAGCTTGATTTTAAGCTTCCTTTGGTTAAAGGCTTTGTAATTGTGGTAAAGACTTGGCATTAATAATAGTAAGAGTAACTTCCTTATCACATTATTTTAAAAACACCTCCTTAAAAGGACTTCTCTGTAATGCCTGAAGTATTACAAGTGATGACAATCAACTCTGAAACAATTAGGCTATGTCTTTTTTCCCCCCCAGACATGTGTATCAGCATGAATGTTACAGGAATTCATAAGAAAACCAGGTGAGTGTTTTTGTACCTTTATGCTCAGCAGCTGCTGTGGCCTCAGACCTCATGGCGGCTCCAACAAAGACTCCGTGTTTCCAGTTGAAAGACTCGTAGACCAGAGGGACTCCTGAAAACATCAACATGTTATCATGTTTAATGCACAGCTACGTGTCTGTTGCACATGTTGCTCAACTTAGTACAAATCGTAGCTGCAATGACTCAAACATGATGAAGATGAGGACACAAGCACTGTGTTGTGCGAGGCAAGCCATGCACAGTCACCTTACCTGTCTTTAAACCTCTGATGTATTATTTTACAGTGGCCTTAGTGCCACTGTGACAGGACAATGATAAATCATGACTTAAATGTAGCTTAAGCTTTATTTGAACCGTTTATAAAAAATAAACAAAATTATATTGACCATGAAATTACAAGGACTTTCTACTAACTGTCCCATTAAAAAAAAAAAAAAAAAAAAAAAACACACACACACACACACACACACACACACACACACCTAACTGTTCTTCTTTGAGCTTACATTATATTTTCATGCAATAAATTAAAGTCATAATCATTTCCATAATTAGCCCTTTCCCCCCCACTTATTTTCCCACTTCATCCCTCTTTTACACGATGTTACTAGGCTTCCCCTTCTGCTGGCAATGTAAGATAAATTAACTTAAGCTAATTGAGTTTACTTCCCTCTGTCTCTGCAACACCTAAGACAAATGCTTGACTAATGCTTAAAATGTGAATCGATCGTTCGGTATGCTCATCAAGTAACGTCTGACTATTGAGAGAAAAAAAAACTCTTAATGTGCATTACATGAAATCAGCACTAACCTTCCGGCCTCCTGCCACCGAAGATAATGGCGTCGATGGGGACGCCCTCCTCACTCTCCCACTGGGGGTCAATGATCGGACACTGAGCCGCCGGGGCACAAAAACGGGAATTGGGGTGGGCACATGGAGTCGAGCTTCCTGTTTACAGAGAGGAAACAACAGTTTATTCTACCTTCAATGTTTTGTAAACATCTACATCTAATTATCATGGTTCATACTGTGACAGACCTTCAGGTATACCTCTAGGGGACACTATATACACACACACTATGGCTGTTCAGTTTACTCCTCATTGGTTTGATTTATTCAGAAAGCAAAAAGTATGCAATGGAAAGAATATGTACTCTATTGAGTGTCATTGACAAATTCTTAAAGTTTAATATGAGACAGGCCTGCTCTGTATGATGCTGCAGTGAGTTTTTCTGGTCTAGGGCCTATTAATAATCCGAACTGGTGGTTAAACTGCTGGACATTCATTAAAAACTAAGAGGTAAAAACAAATACTTTTCTCCAGAACTGCTGAACTACCAGCAGGAAACTTTATCTTTATCTGATCTTACCTTGCTTCCAGGTTTTGCCGTGCCAGTCTGTGAGTGTGACCCCAGCTGCAGGGGGGTCAAGGCCCTCCCACCACACTCCTCCATCGCTGGTCTCGCCAACGTTGGTGAACACTGTGTTTTTGGCAATGGTGGCCATGGCGTAGGGGTTGGTCTTGTCTGAGGTGCCGGGAGCCACGCCGAAGAAACCGTTCTCTGGGTTGATGGCTCTCAGTTTACCTGCAGAGACAAACGTGTCAGAGGAAATCTACCCTGCTTATGGAGTAACAAAGTGATTCTGTGTGCGAGCCATCCTCTTTCCTCTCACCTTGGCTGTCGAACTTCATCCACGCAATGTCGTCGCCCACACACTCGACCTTCCAACCTGGCAGAGTTGGTTTCATCATAGCCAAGTTGGTTTTACCACAGGCACTGGGGAAGGCCGCCGCTACGTAACGCTTCACCCCCTGAGGGTTGGTAATACCCAGGATCTGAGGAGAAGGGGTGACTAAAACTGTTCATTCTGTAATGGTCACACAACCTTACCTTCATTTCAAGTTTTGACACCAACAAATGAGCATCTTCCCAAGTTCCCTACCACAGAGAATCATGTGTCATGTAGGCTTTGGGCAGCAGTGTTCACTCACCAGCATGTGTTCGGCCAGCCAGCCTTCGTCCTTGGCGATGCGCGAGGCGATGCGGAGGGCAAAGCACTTCTTCCCAAGGAGAGAGTTTCCTCCATAGCCACTGCCGAAGGACATGATCTGCCTGATGTCTGGTAGGTGAGAGATCAGCACCTTCTCTGGGTTACAGGGCCACGAGTTGACCAGAGGGGCTGGAGAGGAGACAAAGACATCAGACAGAACAGAGATGGGAAAGATGGGAGTTGGATGGAGCAAAGAGGGGAGGGTGGGACAGAGGTGTGAATAATAAACAGTAAGGACAGGTTTAAGTAAAAGGAAACACTAAAATAACTTGTTTTAGGCACTTGGAATTGGTACCTTTGAGTGGTAAAGGTCGGCCCAAAGAGTGCTGACAGCGGACAAAGTCCACTCCTTCAGCCAGTTTCTTCAGGACAGGAGTGCCCATGCGTGTCATGATCCCCATGCTGGCCACAACGTATGGAGAGTCTGTCACCTTAAAAAGGTAAACAGAATGTTTATCACCCTGATTTACAACCTAAAACGCTTACTGCGCAATAACCATAAGCAGCAATTTATTAGAATAAACTGTATGATAAATGACTATAATAAATTACAGCAATAAAACAAAGTGTTGAGAGGATCACAGTCAGTACCTGGACACCATATTTACTCAGAGTCGAGCCTACAGGACCCATACTGAAGGGAATCACATACATGGTTCGACCTACACACAGAAGCATATAGAACACATTAATGCAGTTTATTTTTCCAATACAGACAACATTGTTTTTATATTCACACATGTTGAACATGACTTCTTTTAGTGCTGCTGTCAAGTGGATTTCCATTTAGTTTGTAACACCCACAAAGACATGGGTGACGTGAAACAGCGCCCCATGAAAGACACCTGGTGTAGCCAAAGGTGAAACAGGCTTGAAACTGTCAACCGGAGAAGCAACTACAGCTTTTCAGCCTGATTGAGGTTTTAAGATAAAACAACTTATTTTACACTTTAATTGTTGCTTGGTGTTCAGGTTAAAATCCTACCATTCAAATCTTCCAAGTTTCAAAAGGGAAGTTGAAAACCCACATCTCATGGCAAAAAGGGACATTTCCATCCAGCAACATACCTGCCATGCAGCCGGGGAAACGCGCTTCTCTGGCTTTCTGCCAGTCAGACTCACTCATCCAGCTGCCCAGCTGGCTCTTCGCCCCTCCAGAGGGGATGGGCACAGTGTCCCTCTGGTTCTTGGTCACAATCACAGTCTTGCTTTCTACTCGAGCCACGTCCTTTGGGTCTGTACGAGCCAACCAGCTAAAACACAAAGCAGCAAACTGAGCATGCTGAAGATAAAGTGAGGAACTTTAGAAGAGAATTACATACACGCAATGATAGGCCTTTTCCATCAACATGAAATCATCTCAGTCCTGGTTCGTACAGCTGATTTTGAACCCATAAGAGCATTTTGAACAAGTTGGTTCCCAGTTGGAACCAAGAAATAGAAGGTTTAATTTGCGAACTGAAGTGGACATGTCAACAGAGCGTGTTGCTCAATGACATGTAGAATATGACGACGCATCCTTGATGACGATAGTTCAGCTAATATCAGGTGGAAACATGGCCTGGTTCACTAGATTGTACGACAGTTCCAGTCCGGATCAAGAACCAGAGCTAATTCGGTGGGGAAAAATTAAGTGTTACAAATTACACTTACACCAGTGAATCTATGCATGTAGGTAAAACAAATCTAAAGTCCTTACCAGTTCTCATATTTGGGAAGCTTCTTGACCATCCCTTCTTTCTCCAGTCCTGCCAGAATGTTGGCCGTTTCCTCCGGCGTCCCTGTCACCACATGCACACCGGTGGGTTTACACTCATCCGCCGCTCTCTTCACAAAGTCAGCGACGGCCGGGGGCAGCGAGGGGATGGTGGCCAGGGACCGAACCCCGACACTCGCCCCAACACCACCCCGCCTGAAAGAGAACAGGCATTTAAGCAATGAATAATTTTTTGGCCATTTCCTTGCGACCAGAGGAGATTCAATGACAAGCTAGAACAACATCATTTGTTGGCGTCGTCGGGTGTAGGATATTGGTTCCACTAGTTGCTTATTTCCACAAACGCGGCCATCTTTATATGCCCAAAAGTCACTATAGAGAACCGGGTTTTGTTTAGTGGCAGACCATTGAGGCAATGTACTCATACAATGAACTGTGGCTGAGCCGGGTCTGACTCTACACAAGTAGCACATCTAAAATGCAGACTGCCCTAATCCAAAAATTAAGTCTTCTTTCTGTTGTGAGGTGGCGTGCATTCCTCTGTAAAAAGATATTCCTGCAAGACCTGCCACACTAGGTTCTTCCCGAATAGGGATACATAAAACTGTGACAGTCCTGTGATCTACATAATGCTACTGTATTCTCCTAGATCATTTCTAACTCTGACCAGAATGTAGAGCAGAGTGTGCGTCCTTACTGCCTCAAGTGGAGACTCTTGGTTTACTGACAACTTTATTTTCTTACTCTTCAGTTTAATTTCTTTCCAGATATTTTCTGTCTGCATTGCCTTTGAGATTTTCTGATCTACTCACTGCTACATTTTTTTACACAATAAATGACTGAACCCTCACGGAGTGACAAATATGTGAGAAAATTAGCAAAAAGCCAGATACTTCGTCATTGATACCAATTAATTTTTTTACCAATGGATACTGGTGGAGTTTGAAAAGCTTTTTATACAACAGCAGTGAGCATTTGCTGCCCTGGGGCAGTTATTAGTGCAACCTAAGAGCCTCAAACAGACTTCTCCACATAAAGAGAGGCATGCGGGGGGGCAACTTATTATTCTTTAGCAGCATGCTATCCAAAAACACAAGCCCCTGTGAGGGCTGCATCTATGCAAGCTGTTAAAACGCACACCAGTGTCTGTATGCGTCTCTTGTCTATCCATAGCAATGGTCTGACAATAGAATAGACTATGTGGGTATGTGCTGTGTTGTCTGTCTGGACAGTGTGGATGACCCCAGATGACCTCTTTAGAAAAAAAAATGTGAAATTCTAGGTGCTCTAAAACTAGTTTCAACCATAAAATGACCAACATTTTCCCTCCAATCAAAAGTGAGTGGCTAATTTGACTGGGAACGCAGATCACACTCTTCTACTTTGCTGTATCAAAGACAGCAACACAGTCGTCCCGGCAAGTGAAGGGACACGGCTCCCAATTGGCTGCATGCCATGTTCATTATACGTGCTTCACACAGCCCTCTACTTGTGCATGCAGACACACACACACACACACACACACACACGTGGTCGGGGCACACAAAGGGCATGCTAGAAACAAGATAACACGTAACTTGACAGTGAGAGGGCAAAGAGCAGAGAACAGTCTGATGCCGGCCCTGGGGTTCACACTCCCTCTGAACAGGTGACCTGTGCCAGTGCAGCAAATTTCAAATTTTTTAATACACCAAATTTTTTCCATGAAAATTTAGCGCTAGAGTAAAAAAGTCAAGGCATTGTTATGTCTGCGTACCCCCTGAATCCACCAGACACACTTCACTGGATCATTTCTCCTCTTTATAAAAAGAAACTTACTGATGTGATGTGGGGCAGAAACTGTTAGTTTCAGCGGATCTTTTAACTTTTTTGACTAAGCAGATAAATGAATCATTAGCTGAAGGGGAACTAAAAAGAAAATTAGTGTTACTGTGTCACACCATCCCTTGACCTTTGGCCCAAAGAAAAAGAATTGTCAGTCTTATCTGTTAGATGCAGTCTCGTTTAATCAGCTCTATAGTCCTTTAGTCTCTCCCCCTCCACACACAGTAAATCAATTATCTACGCTTCTAATCATCCACCCTGTCATGCCACTAACCCTTCGGGTGGTGCTGACTATCATCTCCAGTGTGGTTTAAGATTAGGAAAGGAGACGAGTGAATTTGAAATGAATTAACACAAAGTAAGCATTTGTTTGATTATTCATTTACTTGCTCAAGCACGGGCTGTGGCCAACTTGAGACAGAAGGTGAGAGGTGAAAGCAGCCAATGGGGATTAGTAGCTTTATTCGTCCTCCTTTGCAGCAAAAATGCTGCGAAGTTTCAAAGCCTAAACAGACCCCCCCTTACAGCGCAGACATTCATCCTCTCATGCCTTTGTCTTTGCCCTCCCCCATAACTGATGAGGACCAGCATGCATCCATTTTACAAATTTAGCATAGATTTATCCTGACATCAGCTTAGAAGAAAACTTTTTTTTTTTTTTTATGCGAGTACTCTGCAGCACTGAAACAGGGACCGTCATTCTCTAGTTTTCAGACGTATACATTTTGAAATGAGCGACGATGCACAGGGGGGAAAACGAGGAACAGATAACACTCATGAACAGCTGAACAACTTTTCCTCCAAAAACACACCTCCAATTCAGCAAGCCAATCCTCACACACCACTGCCAGACACGCCTACACTCCCCCTTCACATGGATCCTGATCAACAGCCTCCTTAGGGCAGAGTCTATACACAAAGGGGAGCCAAGCTGGAGTATCACACGTGCTTTATGCATTAACCTCCTTCATAGTACAGCGAGTACACAGGTGGGGGTGGGCAACATGCTCCAGGACATTCAGGCAAACAGAAGAGTGATGACTCCAGCCATTAACAATCTCTCAAGCAGAAATACAAACAGAATGCACAGGAACATGGGCCTCCCCTGTCACCAACTCACATGCTCCTACCATGGTGTCAGTCACTCCATGCATCTGTAATGGCTAAATACAATGCAAAACACACAGTGCCCCGGAGTGCTGCTCACATTGGCTCCAGAGTCCCTGTGTGATGTGGATTCACCACAAAACCTGGGGGGAATTGGTGAGGAGAAGGAATGCAGAAAGATGACCCTTTTTTCGATTGTTCCTGTGAGGTGTTGATCTATAAAAAGACACCTACAAGTTTTCGCTCAAGGGCATTTGATGATTTGATGTGAGGCTTGCCTCTGAGATCAAGTCTGACAAGTTTCTGACAGCATAACAGCTGACAGACAACACAATTAGAAGTTTAACAGGAACTCCTGAAAAAAAGCTTCAAAAGGTGTGACTCTTTTACTATAACTTAATACCAGATGAATGGCGGAACAGTGCCACAGGTATCTGATTGTAAAAGTGTAAATGACTATTCTTAATAATAATAAAAAGTCTGCTTCAGAAAAAGTGGTGAACATTAAATAGGTTAATTTTAAATAGGCAGGACAGGAAGTTTTCCACAATACATTTGAAAATAGGCCTAAGAATAATTCAATAAAAAAAAAAAAACAGGCCAAATTAATTGGCTTAACATAAGCAGGCAAACATACATTTGAATAGCAATTTTTAATTCACTGCAAAAGCATTTGTGCATTCTTACGTTAACAACTCTGAACATTATCTTGACACGATGAAATGTAACGTCACGAAGCTAAAACACCACATTAAATCCCATGAAACACAAATAAAGCCACAATTACTCACCTTCGTATGACGCCCAGCAACAAGCACGACATCTTCGGTGTAAATGAAGCTAGCTTATTAAAAACAAAAGTGCAAAAAGGCTCATTTAAGTTAACAGGAGAGGGGGGAGAGAGGAGCCGTGTCTGGAGCTGCTCGCAGCTCCTATCAGTGCTCTGAGGGGACCTTGCACTTTGCTCCGCGTGTACATTCACACAGAAACACCTTCCCGGTAAGCTGGACGCTGTCCTGTTGTTGCTCCATACACCGACCACAGCGCACAGGCGACCTCCTATCGACTCCACAAACTGCTCACTCCTGTAAAGTGAACTTTTCACTCAGCAGGGCGCCTGCTCAGAGGGGGAGGGGGTGTTTTATCATTTAAATATCATGTAGCCTAGTGGGCGTCCTCGCATATTGTGTCCGTACTGTTGGGTTTTCTCTCCTCCAAACCTCGCGGGCAAACCGGTCGGCCGGCTCAGTGGCCCCTCCTGGCTGATGCAAGTCTCCACAGGTCCTGCACCACCACCACGCAAACACGGGAGAAACAAACCAGCGTGGAGCCGCAACCCGGAAACACAAGCAGCTGTACGGAAACAAAAGACACCAGGGGTTGGGGACACTTCTAAAGTAGATGGGTGTTCACCACAGACTGTTTAAAAAGGTGTTCACATAAAACCCCGCCCCCTTAAAAGCCTAATTGGGAGAAAGAGGTGTCCAGAGGTGAGAGTCAAAAAGTGTTTTGTTTTGGGAAGATATTTCCTATATTATTTGCAAAAACCTGCAGGGGTCATGGGAGGAGAGTGTGTAATTTAAAGGGCCCCTCCAGTGGTTTGCACTTCCATAGAGTTGGTAGAATCACTGGAGACAGATTTTTAAAAAAAAGGAATGGTCCAAGATGAAGCAACACCAGAGATGAAACACAGGCTGTTAAATGTAGGTATGATAACATCAAAAGTTTGAGAGCTCCCTTCACAGGCTGAGGAGTGCTCCTCAGGAAGAATAGGCTACTCTAAACTTCATTTGTAAAATGGGTGGAGGGCCCTTTTAATTGTTGTTATGATTGAGTTTATGATTGTTTCCAATAAAGTTACAAGTGTAGTGAATGGGACAATAAAATGTCAGCATGTGTAGGCCTCTATGTTAATTATTTATTTTATTAACCTGTACTTTTCCTTGCAACAACATTTAGCTTATAATCAATTCAATCAATTCATCATCAACCTGTTTTCTTTTTGTTTCTGTCCTGTTTGTATGCTGTTTTGCTTTCAACTTTTTAATGGTTATCTCTAGTTGTTATTGTGGTTTTTATGCTTTTATGTCTTTTTTTTACCATGTAAAGTGCCTTTGAGTACCTTTTAAAGCACTATATAAATAAAATGTATTATTATTAATTTAACGTTTCCAGAGACTGGAATACTGTTTGTTATTTTTGAACTATGCAACGAGTGAATGTCAAAATAGGTTTTAACAGTCTGAAGTTGTGATCTGTTTTCAGTGTATTTTAACTTTAAGGTGGTTCAAGACATTTTTTATGGTAGAAAATGACCCTTTATAAGTGCAGCTTTAGGGCTGAAGTAAGGATTATTTCCATTATTTATTAATCTGCTAATTATTTTCTTGGAGAACCGATTAATGATTCATAGATTAGTAAAGAAGTGACTTTCACAATATCTTGTTAGCTTGACTGTCTGAAAAACCTTTACGGAACAGTTTCCTATCACAGAAGACATAAAGAACCAGCAAATCCTCACATTGAAGCTGGAAGCAGTGAATATAGTTGCCAATTCATTTCCTGTCAGTACATTAATCGACTATTCGTTCCTACCGGATACATCAGCAAAAGGCCCTTTTAAAGAATCAACATGAAAACAAGACACAACATTGGCTCTTTTTAAAGCAAAGAGCTTGAAAAATCTTCCCTCCACCTTCAAGACAAATGTAAATCTAGGACTTTGTGATTTTTGACATTGTGTTACATAACTTTGGAGTCCTGGAGCTCAAATTTCATACAGTTCTCTCTTGCTGCCACCAGAGGCTGGGACATTGCCCACATAGGGTTTATAGTATTCTAGGAAAATAGTTGTTTACTGCTTTATGAGTAAAATAACTTTGACTTTCAAATGTGAACAGACGGGAGGCTTACACTTATTCTAACAATGCAGGGCAATCAAGTGTGTCTGTGTCTGGTTTTAAATAGTGAGCTTCCTGTTAATGTTTCTCTCTCTGGGAACTGGGGGAGGGGATCACACAAGCTGTGCGAGAGAGGGGAAGTAAAGGGGTGGGAACTACACAGAAGAATACACTGTAGATAAAGAGAGATACAGCAGTCCAACATGTCTGGTTAAACTTCAGCCTCCTCTCCCCTGTTCTATCTCCTGCAGAGTCAGCAGTCCAGCAAAGAGACTCCCAAATCACATGGACAACACACACACACACACACACACACACATATTCACTATGAATGAATGCATACATGCTTTACGCCCACAACTGCAGTCTAAGGTTATGAAAGGGAACTTTCAGAAATGCAGCAACTGGCAAAAACTAAAAGAAGCCATTAAAAGCTGGGACATGTTTAATCATTTAACTGTGCGGCCTCAATGACTTGCTGTGCTGTTACTTGATTGAAGTGTAAACCGGTGTGAAATCTTCTTCTCTGAATAATAGCTGATCACACATCTGTAGCTATTTGAAGTGAAGTCACATCCTATTGAGACGTTTCATACTTGGACAATGAGATTAAATTGGAAATCCAAAGATGTCTTGAGGAAAATGACAGTGGTGAGGTAGATCCCTCCATAGTGTGGGACTCACTGAAGGTGGGACTCCACTGCCTCCTGTCTTAGTCTGCATCTGGGTTCACTAGTCCTAACACAGGGAATAATCAAAAACCGTGCCTGTAAACTTAGACTTTAACATTATCCAGTGGCTTGATTCTTCCAAGACTGATTTGCAAGAAAGGTGAACAATTCATGGTTTCCATTTAAAAGATGCTGGACATATGAGGTGCACTAAATAAAATGTGGTAAAAGTACCAGGCTATTAGAAACCCAGCATTTCAATAAAAACAGATTGCTACAATAAGTGTGAGGTCATCAGCATGAAGTCATTTTGCTCAGGGTCAACAGTTTCTACAAAGGCCTAAGAAGTCTCATGGCTTCTTTGTATGATCGTGTCCTTGAATTTACCCAATGTGGCACATACAACATGTTTCCTTTAAGCTATTTTCAAAGTGCACATTAGCTTTATTAATTATTAATTTGTAGTGGTTCTTAGTCAAACTGATGTGCAATGTAAGCTGCTCATTTCCAGCTGCACGGCTTGTTGTAAACATTGAGGGCTTAATGAGGAAGACACTTACAATATTTATTTGAGATTATATGATGAATAAATCAATTATGAAGAGTCAAATCGAAATATATATATATATATATATATACAAAAAACATGCAGTATTATGTATACCATATAAAACACATACTGCATAACTCATATACTTTGTCTGTTCAGTCACAATGCATTAAGTTAATATGGTCAGTGTGTAACTGTGGAGGGGGATGATGAAATCCTGTAACACATGAACACTGCAAAAGAGATAATTTACTGACATTGGCCATAAAAGTACTAAAGTACTCACCTCGCCACCTCCTTCTATCTCTGCTCGCCTCTACTTTTCCTCAGACAAGACCTTTGTCCGCAGTATTTCTCAACAGCCTCCCTGCCCTGAATAACACGCTGCACTGAGTTTTAATCTCTCACTCAATCAAATCAAAGAGTCAATAACTAATGGTACTCACACTGTAAACAAGTGCACCCTTTGCCCTTTGGATCCAACTCCTAATAATGATTTTTGCTTGATGAGTGATGTATTATTGTGCTTCACGATACCACACAGTACAGATGTTCACTCAGATAATAAAAATACTTTGCTCCAAAATGTTTTGTGATTGTATTTGTCTCCTGATGTGATCAGGATCAGACCTTAGGGGTTTACCTGTTAAAGTCTGAACATAACACAGAGCATGTTAGCATAATGATATCAGGCAACAGTGCAGATGACCAGGACTGTGTTTACAATGGGAGACTCTGACGTCCTCAGGATCCTGTATTTGTTCTGGGCTTTAACCACACAGCTCCTGATGAAAGAGTCCATGTGGCAGCAGAGGCCTGTGATGCTGGCGACAGTAGCAGACACACTTTGGCCTCAGGTTTATAGTATACTCGCTAAAACAGTGCTCCCCTGCTGCTGGGATCGTTTGATGGTAAAGACCAGTGGAGCTGTGTCTTCATATAACTTTAAGTAGGCTGTTTGTGCAATGTGTCATTTTGCCTTAATTTGCCTTAATTTTGCACCAAAAATCTTGTGCGTGTTAGACTTTTACAGTTTAATATGTTTTACAGGAGAATCTTTGTGTCACTAAGGCTAACTGATTCACATACCATTTAACATAAGCATATGAATTCGACAACAACTGACATATAAGCTCACATTCACAGGTTTTTACTTTGGTGCTATTATTTGACTGTAGTTTGCCACAAAGCACTTGAATTTACTCCACTCAGAACAGCACCGCCATCTAGTGGACACAGTGAGAATTTACAAAATAAGTTGTTTAAATGTGATGTCTTGATTGTCACTGTCATTGTTGTTTGCACGTTTTCCATTAAATGAGCAAGCCTATTACTGTGCACATTACCATAGAGTGACAACATTGACAAAACGTTATAACATGTTAATTAAAACCATTGCAATATATGTGATCACATGTGTTTATGTGATGTTATGTTATGTATGTGTGTTTTTCACATAAATGATTGCAGTTAATGCAGATTTTTTCTTTTAAAGTATTATTTATTTTATACATTTACAGAAGACAACTATCCCATGAACTTAAGATTGTCAAATTTATATGAACATTGTTAAAAAATTAAACAGGCAGAAGAGCTGGTTTCAAAATTCTTCACTCAGAAGATTGAAGAGCTGATTTTTTTTTTTTAATTACACCTATCCTGGAACAAGGCATTTGTTGCAGTGCCACATCAATATGATAAAAGAACAAAATAGTCATAATCAATTATTTTCACAATTGTTTTAGCTTTGAATTTTCAGTATACAGAATACAAGTTTAAGGCACGTTTTCAGCATAACATAGATAATGATAGTCAACAATTACATGCCATCTCCATGAGTAAGTTTGTGCTTTGAAGCTATATATTTCACATCAGTGGCTCGTGTTTGGGGCATAGCTTAGGGGAAATGAAATAACACGCTTCTTAAAAACTACAAGTCCCACAATGCAACAGGACCATTCAATTGTAAATTGGGAAAGTACGGAAATGTCTGCGCTTACTTTCATTTTCGCTTTTTATGCTGAGTAACTGTGAGTATTTTTCCGTGTCGTGCGCGGCATTGAATTACACAGATAAAGAGCTAATTTCTGTCCTTTTCTCGCCGCTTTTTTGAAGTTTAAACGCTTGTGTAAACTTACTGCAATCACTTTTCACCCACAGAGACGACATGGCTTCTCTGGGTATTCGCGTCGAGTCGAAGAAACAGGTGAGCACGAGCCTCTGCTAGCATGAGTAAAAAGTGTTATAAACCAACATTTTAATCCCACTTTCCCCTCAAACACCGGGCTGGCGTCTCCGTCACGCTAACAGGTGGGCAGGTGTTCAGATAAGTGTTTGTTTTGATAACTAGACGGACAGCAGGGTCTTGGGAGGTGAGCAGGTAGTTATTAGGTAACGTTAACGTTAATTAGCTTGTGTGAAGTGAAGCTGTTTTACTAAATGTCCTTCATCTAGCGGCACTCTCCAAATATATAAAGGAAAATTATTATACCTAAATCTCTCTTCATTGCAGGTGGATGACTTCTGCCAAAAGCTCACCAAGGAGGTAATTTATATATCCAATAGTGAGAAATCTTTCCCAACTGCCCCATGAACTGAAGTTTGTCTCATTTATATGAACAGTGTTGCATCACTTTAATTTTTTAACAGGCAGAAGAGCTGGTTTCAAAATTCTTCCCTCAGAAGATGGAAGAGCTGCAGATGCTGTTGAAGGTATGTGTCAGCTACACTGGGGTCACCTGGGGTTTCTTCAAACATACAAGGAGGCTTCCTGATCCGTTCCTTACCAATAAAACTCTGTGTGAGTCTTTGGCATGTGAAAGTGTGCGTCAGTCCCCGAAAAGTTCCCAGAAGTAACAGGACATTTGTGACTTGTGTTTTGTGTCAGACGTCTTTCAGCTGTGAGGACCTGGCATCCCTGAAAGCACCATTGGACATCCCGATACCAGACCCGGCTAAAGAGGAGGCCAAACGCAAGAAGAAAGAGGAGGTAGGTCCCACACTTTTGAAGGGAGCATGCCCTCTAAATAAATGTAAGCATTGGAGGGTTAATACATTTCTTTGGGGGGTAGAAAGTGACTCCAGGTCGAATTCTGTTCATTTGTTTCCAAATTAAGAAAACACCTGAGTGGGTAAAGAGGTTGAATGCAAAGTAAACAACAGCGCCGTATTATCCCAATAAGGAGTCTTTAAGCATTTTATTTTTCTTAATCCTACCCATTGAATTTCGTTTGGAGCTCTGCATCAAGCCTCTTAACGGGGATCCTCAGCCACAAAGGTTTTATATTAAGCGTTATATAAAATATCAAGACACAACATTGAAAGTGAGTCCTTTGTTACCATGGCAACCAATTGCTGCCCGTTTTACAAATTGGCAGCGAGTGGGCCTTTTTTATTTTGGTCGATCTTTACAAAATCTAAATTGACGCCACAAGCTGCTGCATTCAGACGTTGACTGGATGGAGCAGGGGCGCTGCTGGAACTGGGTTACATTTCTTACACAAAGGGGAAAAGGAAAAAAAATAAATTTGACATCTTCATTTAGCCAGCCATGGGGGAAAAAGCACATGGATGAGCTGTCTGAGAGATTAATAGGCAGTGAAAACTCTTTGACCTGCTGCCTTCTGTTCCTGTGCTGCAGAAAGAGGCGAAAGAGGGAAAGAAAGACAAAGACAAGGACAGCGATAAAGAGGAGGAAGATTCAGGTAAACAAGAAGACAGATGACGATGACGACATGTATTAAAGCAACCTACTGACTAAATGTTGCAGGAAAATGATGTACTACTGAACACCGCAGTCACTTTTATGAAACAAAAGTTTATTTGGAGTAAAAAGATAAATATATAAAAAACACTGAACAAAAATGTGACACATTCTTGCTTTTCCAACTATAACTAATGAAAAAACAAAGGTTTACCCATTGATTCTCCAGAGCTGATTGGTAGTGACTGGGGAGCAAGTGAACCATTTTAATGTGCATGTTTTAAATGAAAAATGAAATCCTCTTCGAAAAGTGGCCCAGCTGAGTCAGAATTCTCTGATATCGTGACTGAGTGAAGAAATGTTTTGTACGCCAGGGCCTCCTTGTGGTCCCATCTGCACCAACGAGCGAGTAGAGAGCCTCCTGCAGCAGGTCAAGCCTCAGATCCAGACACTGAAGGAGAAGCTGAACACGGTCAGTCAGTCTCTTAGCTTCATTTTTACACTAAGAAAATCAGTCCAAATGTGGTGATTAGTGCACAACATATGTAAGGAATATGCCTTTGAGTGCTTCAGAGTAGCAAAGACAAGAGCTCACATGCCATTTTTGAACAGTTGTTACATAATTATGGCAAATGATCTCTTTGAGTGTGTTTCAACTTGTTTAAAATGGGGCTGTGCTTAGAAGGGGAATAACAGGAATAACTGTGAAGACTATGACAAACTGATAAAAATGAATAAATTCAGATTTTGCTGGCAGGTGGCGATGTGGGTGCAACTCCAAATCCCAAAAATTGAAGATGGCAACAACTTTGGAGTGGCTGTGCAGGTTGGTAACTGGTGATCGTTTGGCGTCGCGTCTGAATGATTCAGTCGCTCTGTGTCTTCAAAAGATGTTTGCCTCGCGCGTTGTTAATCACTCACGTGAGATGTATCTAGGTAGGTTTAATATCTTCCTTCTTGTGAAACAGGAGAAAGTGTTTGAGCTGCTGACCAACACGCGCACCAAGATCGAGGCGTTCCAAACCCAGATTTCAAAGTAAGAGCCCACATCTGTGCAGCAAGTTTGTGGTGGATTTTTATTTTATTTCAATGCAGCCACACTAACAAAGATATGTCATCTCTTTCATTATTGCTGGTAATAGTAGCTGCTCATGTCCCTGTCCCCCTTCAATCCACCCACACAGGTGTTCAGTTATTTTGGCGTGTTTGACATAGCTCTAAAGCTCTCTGTTGGGCACAGGAATTTGTGGAGATCATCAAACATCATTTACAGCTCAGTGTCATATGTGTTAGTTGTTCAGCACAAACAGGTGCAACAAAACATAAGTGTCATTGAGTTGTTAATCAGTCATGCACTGCACACATCCTGGAAAGAGATTCATAATAACTGAGCATATCTTTATTAAGGACTTCAGGGGCTCTCAGAATGTAAAAGCTCCCTTCAGGAAAGTCATTGTAATGAGTTTATGCATCTCAGTGTGAATTGTAAGAACCCCTTAATTTTAAAGCAAAGCTATGCACCTTTTGAGAGAAGAAATGATACAGTCTTCCACTTTCAAATTAAAATTCATACGCAATAAACACACCATTGCTCAGTACAGTGCACTCAAAGGGTTTGATGTTACAACTTGTTCAGGTATGATCAGTAGCTTAAGGTGGCTAATTTTAGCACACAAAGTAAATATTGCTGTGTAACAGACATTATTGAGGTAGGTTATGGACTTCATTACGCTACAGGAGCTTAGCATTTTAGCTCGCTTTAATCAAAATTGGTCTGTGGGTTTGTTAGATATGACAATTATAACTTGATTATAATTATAATGGTTGTAAAGGACGTTAGGTAGTAAATGATCCTGCCGAACATTGTTATAAATGAATGACAATAACCTCCCTTTCTTCTCTTTGTTAGGTATTACACCGAGAGAGGTGACGCTGTGGCCAAAGCTTCCAAACAACCCCATGTGGTCAGTATCTCACATTGTGTATCTTGATCAGTTTTAATGATCACACACTCTGTGATAGAATAAAGGAAGATGTGGATGTTCGCTGTCTGCCACCTGCAGGCTGTGTGCTCTAATTGTGTGTAAAATAAAAGCGATTAAGAGCAATGTTCTGGGTACACACTGGATGTGTCATCTCCTGTATGTTTTTGCAAATAAACTGTGTTGTGTGCTTCCTTCTGCAGGGAGACTATAGACAGCTGGTTCATGAGTTGGACCAGTATCAGTACTGTGAGCTCCGCCTTGTGGTCCTGGACATCTGCAACACATATGTAAGACATCTACCGCCTGTTGTTTACTGTTAGACTACGTTGCAAAAATAGTGTGTTTCAGAAATGCGTTTGTCTGAAAATTGGATAAAAACTGTCAACACCCAACTGATTAAAAAAACTGACCTCATTATTAAAGACTGCGTAGATGTCTTCTGAATATGAAATGTATCAAACTTCATATCCCATCTGTTGTAATCATGCTCTGTATTTTGAATAAAACTACCCATCTATAATCTATAAAATATTCCAGCCGTGTCCCAGCAGCAGGGACGGTTGCTAAATGGAATCCATTCCTTCGTAATAGGAGGGTAATTAAACTAATTGCTGTGCTTGTGTTAAATTGATTGGTGCTGCATCTCCCATCCATTAATCACTGTTTGTCTCCTTCCTCTGGCTATTGTCCTCCTGTGTTTGATGCTGTTAATGAACAAGGCGGTACAGGTGATGATGAAAGGAGCTATTCGACACGATCATGGCTCTGGATCTGGGCATCTCTCTCTCTCTCTTTTTATTACTGCCCCTAAACCTTTATGTCTCTCTCGCATGGTTTCTTATCTTTCTGGCGCTACATTTCCACTGATGTCTCCTCTCTGCGTTTCTCTCACCAGGCTGTGCTGTTTGACATCATTAACAAGAACTATGACAAGATTAAGAAGCCCAGAGGAGACAAAGCTCTCATCTACTGAAACCGGCTCCAGCACTCTTAACAAGATACAACTAGTGTAGTATGACACTCATCAAGTAACAACACACCTGCTCTGACAAAAAATGTCTTCTTTTTCTTATTGTGCATTCATTTTGGTTCAGATTACAAAATAAAGCAATGTGATTCCAGTAATCCCGTCTGCACTTCTTTTTTCCCCACAAAGGAATTCAAAATCTAGTTTTTGACTAATAGTGCCCTACAATGAAAGTAGCCTTTATATTCATATGATGCTAGAGTTATGAAGTGTTTGGAAGGGTGTTTACAGGAAATATACAGAGATTCTCTTTACAACCATAATGAGATGTAATTTTTACTTTCCAAAACTTGAGCCTGAGACTTTATGGTACTGAGGCTGTTTTTCGTCTGTGTTGGTAAGAAGTCCTTCTCCTGGCAAACCAGGACAACCCCAGCTTGGTTTGAGTCTGTACCATCCCTGATAGAGGCCTCTCCATCCCAGGTAGCCCAGAGCTCCTCCCAGCTGCTGGGAGGGGAACTGGGGGAAGTGTGCCAGCAAACACAGCAGCAGGAACATCCAAACAGCAAGTAGGACTACACACAGGAGGAAGATGAACCTTAAAGGGGCACCAGGCGACCCCTGCGGAGGCTTCGCTTGAGCCAGGTGAGGACCAAAGACTGACATTTCCTCGACAAGCAGCAGGCAACACAAGCAGAGGATGAGGACGTCCTGGGAGACCTCGTAACCTCTCCACATCATGTTGGCTTTGAGGCAGGAGGCCTTTGTCTGGTCTTCATGCAGGAGCAGCAGGGGCTGTAGTGAGGAGGCAGTGCCAGGGATATCCTGGGCGGGGGCCATAGGTTCGTAACAGGTTCCCGCTGCGTCCTCCAGCAGAGCCAGGAGACGCCGGCAGCCCCACCATAGCAGCCCAGCAACCCCCACCCGAGAGAGGTGGCGGAGGAGGAGAGAGGTGGAGCGACGGGCAGAGACGCAGAGGAGAAGGATGAAGGAACCAGTGAAGATGCTGGTCCAACCCCAAGTGGACTTGAGGAACTTCCTGTGAGACAGGGTTGAAGCAGAATCAGTCAATAAAGAATAAAATGACTGAGTATAACTGCTGCAACCTGACCTACTGGTTAGCCTAAGTTGAAAACACATTAAATACATACAATAACCATGTTCCTCAGTTCAGTGCACTCAAGGGGTTTTCTGTTACAGCCTAACTTCAGGTTTATGGTGGCTAATGTTAGCACACTTAAGGTAAATATTGCTGTGTAACAGACCTTACATATATACAGTTGGATAGTTACTAATATTCATACAATTAACATAAAATAACAATATACAACTTTTGATGAATTTATAAATTGTCAAGAAAGCATTAATACTCTGATTAAGGGGTTACAATGCACACATTTAAAAACTTTGTTTGGGTTTCCAGGTTAATATGGCAGACGAGCATCAAGCTAATCAGATTAATTATTAATAATTACCATTATAATTGTAAACTTGAAGGATTTTTTGACACTTTTAACTGAACAGTGGCCACAAGTGACAATGTCAGGATAAGGGTGAATGCTGAATCATAGTGGAAGAGAAGTGAGTCAAAGTTAGCTAATATTAGTTAGCATTAGCCATCATAAGCTACTATTCATACCAGACCAAGTAAGGTTGTGGCAGCAAAACCCCTGAGTGAACTGAATTGAGCACAGGTGCATTTTATTGCTCATAAATGCAGCTGTGCATTTGCAAGACAAATTGTGTTATATTTTATTTCAAAAGTTATATAAACTCATTTTCATAATGGTAAAGGTTGACACATTAAAATGATCCTTCACTTACATCTGATCTTAAAATCTGCAAAGTGTGAATACATTATTTCTTTAAGCTTTTCATTTAATAAATTCATGACTGATAGCTTATAAACTATTCGGAAGTAGGCACTGACTTATTTATATAGTAATGTCATGCAGGTCTACCCTTAAAAATAATGTTTATTCATGAGACACATCATTGACTATACCTTCTTATAAAATCTTGCTCATCTGTATATATTCTACATTATTTCACCTTTTAAATATAACTTTAGTGTACCAGGTCAGTTTAAAGACCTTTGGGCTCACATTGACACCCATTCAGGACAGGTTTTAAAGCAGCATGCAGGTCCAACTGAAGTGAGACATTTCCATTTAAAAGCAAACACAACCGTAAACGTTGATGTTGAGCCCTCACCTGTACAGGTAGTGGTTGCTGTTTGCGAAGATGCTGTACTTTGACACCCAGAAACTCAACACGGGACCAAACAGAACCAAACCAGACAGCACCAGGTGGAAATGTCCTCTGACCAGGTTGCTTCCTAAAATTCTGGCCAGCAAGTTTGTTACAAACACCAGAGCAGCATTCAGGAGCCTGAGGATGAATTTTCCCGGCAGTATCAGCTCTGCAGCCATCTTGTGTAACTTCTCCAAGTTGATATCTGGTGAGGCAGTGTTTAGATCCACAGTCTTTTGATCCATGTTCATCTACTCTGTTTGTCTTCTTAATTCTACTTTTTGTAGTTTTAGATAAAATTTTGAAAATGTTTTCCTCTTTGTGTCCAATTAGAGCTCTGTGGCGGAGTCCGCCTCACTTTCTTTTGTCTTTGAAAGGCACACCAGTTCTACACTGGCAGCCTCTCTACTTTATCACTGTCAGGCGTGCAGGAGAGCACATGGTTTATAAAAATAAAACCCCTCTGTCCCCTTCACCCTCAAATGCCCTCCCCCTCCACAACACAGACTCAGAGTGTGGACATGGTAATGGCTGCTGCTGTAACCGACCCTGTGAATCTGATCCTGTTTGATGGCAGCTGATATAAAAACTGATTCTGTGGTTTAAAAATAAACCCCAAATTCTGCATGATGGCTTAAAACAGCTACTTTGCAATCAGACTTACAGGTGTGATGCAACATTGCTCAATTGCATTTACGTTTAAAAAGTTGTGTATTCCCACAAAAAGAATCATTCAGACTTTTGGCTCCTTCTTTCGTTCTCCTTTAGTCTCTCCATTCTTAGAATCAGCTGTTGGAGCCAAAACTAATTTAAGTTATAAACTGTTGTCAGCCTGCATTTGGCGCCATGAACAGCTGCATTTCTCTCAGCACTTTCAGTCTTTTTTATTTCCAGGCCCGATGCACTCTCTTAAACCCCTTCAACATCCTGAGCCAAATTGAGTAAATCCAGTCTTTCCATGGGAGTTATGGTCAATAAAACAGAGCCAGGACATCCAGCCCCACTGCTAATATAAAGTCCAGATCCATACTAACAAGAAAGAAATACTGCTGGAGTCCATGTGTGAAAGGTTGGTATATTTGTTCTGACAGTGTAAGGATATTCTGTGTAAAAGGGGAGAAGATTTAACTTCTAATTTAGTTTAACTTAACTTCTGTTACTTTCTTTCATTTTGTTTCTCAGTAATTCAAATGCAAAATCCCAAAGTGTCTAGTAAAAGGAAAAGCATTTTTGATGATATAACTTTGTGGATTCAGCTACAGTTTTCCTGAATTATGGTGTCCTCTTCCTAATAAATGACCTGTGGTGGTGGGCGTTTATAAGAATCTAATTTTATTAAGTAGGAACATAAAGTGTAAATGAAACCAGACATGCCAAAGAATCGTTGTCTAATATTAGACCGCTTTCTGCATCGCTGCCATTACAATGACCTTCAAGCAACTTTGCTATGGTTCCTGCAGCAGCTAATTGTCAGTTCTCTGTTATGTGCTGCTGGCAAATGCCTGGTTGCATTTAGCCAAATTAAATGGTCATATGGCATTTTCAGGACAAAGAAAGTAAATGAGAAAAGGAAAGATATTTCCCCACGAGTTTCTTGTGGTGTTTGTTCAGTGTTAAGACATTTCAGGTATCTCCATTTTTAACAGGATATCTAAGTGTTTCCTTTTCTCTACTTTTGCATGTTTGAAGCTTGATCAAAGACAAAGAAATTTCTAAGTATCAAGTCAACCAGGCAGAGTGAGCGGATTCAAAGGTCTGCACCCAGGCAAGGACTTCATTAACGGTGGCAAATGCGTAGTAAAAAGCTGTAGCTCATGGCGATACATTAAAAGATTTTATTGTTACTGTAAAACAATGGTCTGAGAGTGAAATATGGGCTTTGATATAAACACCTGAAAATTGCATATACAGATTAGTGTGTAAGTATTGATCCACGCACACATCCCCAGTCCCTTCACCAAGTCTTTGACCTCAACATGTTTTACACACATTCAAATCTGTTAAACAGATCACAGGTTTATATTGGCCAACAAAATTACAATTCCTCATTTTTTTATTTATTTTTTTTAAATCAACTCAGGGCTTGTGTTTACAGAGTTGTGTGCTGATCCAGGATCAATAATAAATCCTCTGACTATTGCTGTGTTTTGCCTTTAGGCTTGAGGTGGTCTAAAGAGGATTTAGCATTAAATCATTGTTGGTTCAAAAGTACGTTTGGGCATCCCGGTTAACTTGGTATGCTGGAAATTCCCAACAAAGCAAGTTAACCACCAGGCACCTGCCCCTGAACAGCTGGCCAAGTGGTGGACCAATGGTAAACTGGGTAACTGGCAAATAATGTACTGTGTTATTGTAATATATTGGGTCTTTAAATGTGGACTTTAATGGTGATGGCCTCTCAAATAGGACACAGCTTATGTTATTCATAACAGCGAGTGCAAATCAGCACAGTGACAACTATCTAAATCCACTCCCTGAACGCACACACCATTAAAATGCTATACATTTATACAGAATTATCCTCAGTTTCTCCCTGCATTATGAAAACAGTGATTTTTATATCACTAACTTATCGTTAAATTTCAATAGCTCATTAAGTAAGTAAGTGCAGTGCTTTGCATTTTGAGCTCTAGCACATTTGTGTTAAGTGTTTCAGGCCAAATTCAACAGCTCGGGCCTGTTGACTTTGTGCAAGACAGTGAGGCAAAAACGAGAAAAACAGAGGTGGGCCATCCCGCTATGCCCTAACAATGTAAGGCTATAATGCCTTCCAAATGAACACTTCACAACCACGCTATAATTGTAATCATTATTATCCAGCATTGAATTTAAACAGGTATTTAAGTCTCTCAAAGTCATTCCTGGCATTTTGCTTTCCTCTGTCATGGCCAGCCTCGCCCCTTCTGTGGTGATGTCACTTCCTCTGACATCTTTTCCTTTGTCTCTTTTCGTCGCTCGCCGTCCCCAGGGTCTTTCTCCTGCTGTCAGTCTCTCTCCCTCTCCTCCTCTAGAGGATGGGTCTGTCTGTGCTCCCACATTTGCACCGCTCCGTCCCACTGTGGAGAAACAGAGGAGGATGAGGGAGATATCAGAGCTGCAGCTGGCTTCCCACAGTAGCTCCCATTTTTAAATTTTTCGGTGACTTTTCTTAACATAGACTGCCCCAATTACTTTAAATAGTTATTTCTTCTGGATTTATTATAGCTCAAATTTGTGATTAATTTTAGTTAGAAATATGTTGATAAGTTATTAAAACTTTCACCAAGGTTAAACTTCCTGTCTTTGCACCACTATTTAGTCACTTTGCTCTGGGAAGAACTTTCTGGCTATAAATGCTTTGTTTTTTCATCCACTGAAATCATCAACAAAATGAATCAAGTAATGGATGAACTAGCGCTGGGCGATATGGCCAAACATGTTATCATGATAAAAACGTTCATATCATTCGATAACGATAATTATCACAATATATGTCAAATCGTTATTTCTAAGACACCAGATGGTTAATTATGGTTTAAACTATTACTTTATGGTCAGAACTTGACAAACATATGCCAAACCTTTCACAAATCTGAGGTAGAACATTCAAAATAAGTATGATAAATTATTTAAGTAAAATATTTTTTGTCGCTTTTCCTCTACAAAATAAATATCTTAGAAATAGAAAAATGAAGTGCTAATATATTCACGATTAAAATGAACTGAATGTAACACTTACTGAACATTTATTGAACATTTGTTAGATTGTTGAGGAACATTATATCGCGATAATTATTGTTATTGTTTTATTGCTATGATGAACTTTTAAAATTTGCATCGGCTGACTCAAATAAACAGAAAACCTCTATTTAACCTATAACAAAAAAAATTGTTTTAAGGTAAGCAAAGAGCTGGCCACTCATTTTCTCCACATTTATGTTCATAAGAGGGTTGTATGGAAGAGTATTGTAGTGATTTTGAATTAGCCATGTAGCTACATTAATAGTTTGAATTTACTAAACTTGTCGAGAAAACAATGTCACATGAGCGTCTCGGTACACTGACAACTTTGTTGCAGTTTCAACAACTTATTTCGACAACATTAGGAAAACTTACAGATTTCAGCTTTTAGTAAATAGTCTGGTTTTCTCTTCAGCTGTGAGAGAAACTGCTTAAAAAGTAATATTAAATGCAATATACATTAGAAATAAGATATCGCATGCACTCATATTTCTGTAAATGGCCCATTTGATTGTCTAAACACACATTAAAAGCCATTCACTTAATTCCATGGTGATCCATTAATGCAGGAATCACTGTCTGGTTTAATTCTCCTCAATAAAAACCTTTACACCGTTTTTGGAAAGTGCTTCCTTTTCGATTTCATGTAATATTTACGTTCAAACTTTTTTACACTTCTAGTTGAAGAGTTTCCGTTAACAGCACTCACAGAGCTGCTGACGATGTTGTCCTCATACGGGTGCCAACTGACGTCCCTCACGCACGCGTCATGGCCTGACAGTTTGGAGACCACGGCGCCCGTCAGGACGTCGTAAACTGGACAGAAACACAATTCAACATTTTGAGCTACTTGTAGGCATGAAGTGTTTATCGATGCCCCTTTAATCACACACACATCAGAACTGCACTGACTTTCCATGCAAAAATGACTATACACAGAGTTGGAAGGGTTATTTGGTGGAAAATAATACGACTACACATCGCAGACATACAGGCAGCACATAGTGAGACTCACTGATGATTTTGCCAGTGGAGCAGCCGGAGTAGATGAACCTCTGTCCGGTGCTGAACTCCGGAGAGAAACGACAGCGGATGAGCGTGTGCAGAACGCCGTGACCACGGTAGGTCATGACCGAGGTGTCGCCCGTCAGCTTGTGTCTCTTCAGCGCTGGTACAGACGACAGGTAAACACGATATTTTCAGAAATCACCTTTTAGATCTTTTATTAAAATGTTTTGCTCCCTTAAAAGTCAGAATTCAGATTTTCCTCCCCGCTCCATCTTATTGTCTGAGCTCCTATCCTTCCCCTCCCCTCTACCCCTTCTCTCGTCTTTGACTAGTCAGGCTTTCACTCATGTCTCTTTACCTGGTTTTAATACTGCCACATTCCCTTACCCTCACCCATGTTTCACCTTTCTGTCAATGGTCCTCTCTCCTTTCTTTTCCTATGTCATTTTCTTCTCTTCTTTTTCTTCCCTTTCTGCCTCCCTGTGACCTCCCCTCTTCTTGTCCTCTCCTCCCTCCTGACTTGTTCACTAGCACTCCTCCTCCTCCTCACCTCTCTGGGGAACCTGCTGCCAGCGGTAATCCCAGTTTTGTTGGGTGACAGCCAGGCGTGAAGCTGCCAGCCCCTCTTTGGGCGAGAACTTTCTGACGTCCCAGAGCTTGATGGACTGGTCCTTTGAGTTGCTGATCAGGTAGCGCGCGTCACCCTGAAACAGTCACGAGGTG